TCTCCAAAAAAAAAAAAAAGTATTTTGACATTTACTTTATCTTTAAGCCTTTGGATATAGCCTTCTCATCTGTTATTATTCTAAAATATAGATCAACATAAACTAGATAATTAAAACTGTGTTTATTGTTTCTCTTCATCCCAGCCTTAAAGAATAGATTAACAAGGAAACCACAAGAAGGTCTAAAGAAAGCCTCAGTATTTGAACTACATATATTTGTTTTGTTTGTGTGTTTCTAGGCAATCAAAAGGTAAATTTAATTTCCCAGAGCCCTGACACCCAGTGTGAGGCCACAGTTCTCGCGACAGGCCCGACCCTCTTCTCCACTGGCCTGTGGCTCACTGTCGGTGGCCCTTGCCCAGCACTTGTCTTTCCTGCAGAAGCTGAGTCGTTTCTCTGTCTCACGGTAACCCGTTTTCATCTCTGCCCATTTTCCTTCCAGCCGCAGCCTGTGAGTTTCTGGAGATCGTGGAATTGCTGCTCCAGGCTGGTGCCGACCCCACTCTCCGGGACCAGGACGGCTGCCTGCCAGAGGAGGTGACGGGCTGCAGTGCCGTCTGTCTGGTGCTGCAGCGACACACAGCTAGCAAGGCTTAATCAAGAGACTGGAAAACCACAGTTCATAACAGCATGGGGCTTCAATGAGGAGAGAAAACTGCAAAAACAGTCCTTCTTTCACCACCCATCTTTGGTATGCATTGGCTAATAAAATCAGTTCTGAGGAACTGGGATTTTGACGTCTCAGCACTTCATTCTCCGTGCATCCCTTCTGGGGAGTCCAGCTTTGGAGATGAGCATGTGCACTGTGCATAATATAATCCAATTCTGCTGAGCATGCTCTGAAATTTATCACTGCGTTAGAGGGTGGGGAGAGGAGCAGACAGATCGTATTTCATAATATTAAACATGGTTGCTCTTGAAAAACATAAAGAAGCAGAATGTGACCAGCAGCACTGTACTGACAGGAAAAGTTGCATGAAATCCCAGTATGGTGGCGATCAAATGATCTCATCGTGTTTTGTGTATCTCGTCTGACTACATAGCAAAATATCTGTTCTTTTGGCAGACAGAATTGGGAAGATTGGCAATAAGCAGGTGTTAAAAAATAAATAAGAGAGGGACCAGCAGTTAGCGTAATGGCTATGTCACTGGACTCCCACATAGTCAATCGCGGTTCGAGTCCCGGACCCAGTGGCTTAAACTCACACCGGGTGCGTGTGCGTGCATGCCCAAGATCCCGAGAGGAGAATGGAGGAGAAGGGATTGCGACATGGCCATCCCCCCTGGGAAGTGATTTCTCGCTTTCTGTCTCTCTGTCTCTCTCTGTCTGTCTGGTGAGCTCACGCACCCTATAGCAAAAACCTCTCAAAAAAAATAAATAAATAAATAAGAGAAAGGCGGGATTTTTGTCGCAGAAGGGGTAGTATAGGAATGACAACCAGATTTGCTGAAAACCTCCAAACCTTGGGTACTTTTGAATAATATTCAGTGGCCTTACACTAGGACTGAAACACAGATTCTGGAGGATTTATTGATTAAGTCAGGATTTCTTAAACTCTTCCTCACAAAGCAGGAAAGGGCTCCATGAAAGGCCCTTTCAGTAGCGTCTACTGCCTCTGTCGTGTGTAGCAGGAGTCTGTAAAAACAGGCCTGAATTCTTAAGCCCATTTGCGTCTGTCTCATGTTATTGTCGAAGCTATTTCTGAGCACCATAAGAGCTCCTGCATTTAAAAATATAAACAGAGGGACCAGTAGCTAGCATAATGGCTATGTCGCTGGACTCCCATGTAGTCGACCACGGTTCCAGTCCTGGACCTGGTGGCTTAAACTCACGCCAGGCGCGTGTGCGTGCGTGCCCAAGATCCCGAGAGGAGAATGGAGGAGAAGGGATTGCGGCGTGGCCATCCCCACTACAGGGTGATTTCTCACTTTCTGTCTCTCTGTCTCTCTGGCGAGTGTACACGCCCTATAACAAAAACGTCTCAAAAAAAATATATGTAGACAGAGATCATGTTTATGTGAAGGATGGAGCTTCAAGAGCTCCATCTGGCTCCTTGACATTTCTTAGAAAATAGATAGTTGACTTAGAGAGAGAAACAAAAGTTGAGATGCAAAAATAACCATTTAAAAGATAACTTTTCTAAAAAGTGTTACTATTAATATGACAAGTAAGGGGCCAGCAGGTAGTATGGTGGTTAAAGTACAGGACTCCCACATGACCAGCTGTGGTTCGAGTCCCAGATCTGGCATCTTGCTTCCTCAGTTCCATGTCCCCTGCCTCTCTCTGGTGAGTGCCCATGCCCCATATGAAATTTTTTAAAATAATAATAAATAAAATTAAAAAAAAAAGATAACAGGTAATATACTTGCTTACTGGAGCCATTGACAGTGAACAGGGCTTTCATTAGTTTGAGCTAAATTGTCCTTCTGGGACAAGTCCCTCCTTAACAGAAATGAGACATACAAGTGGACTTCAAATGGTTTGTGGAAAATGGAATTAAAGTACAAGTTTATTTGATGCAAATTTAAAGTCTGCAAATAGTTTTTTCATAATACATATTTTCCATGAAATTTTTCAAGGCACCCACCCCCAGATTAATGCTTTTCATTTTATTTTTTCTAGCCTAACTTATTTTCTGAGGCGTAAACCAAAATCATTCACCAAAACTGTTCATTTTTTAAAAAGTAATTTAATTATCTTTGGAAGTGATAAGCCTGTGAGCACATACTGAAGGGTTACGATACTTCTGTTAATATTGGAGCATTCTCTTCATTATCTGTTCTTTGACTGCAGTCCTGGCCACATTGCAGCCTACTGTTTGGCTAAGCCCTCCTGTTACACCTTGACAGAATGTAGTTTAAGAAACATTATACATTAGTTACAGTAAAAGTGGCCAAGAAGTTGTGTGCAGTTTTTAATATTACTTTGTGCATTTTTAGGATATTTGCAAATCAAAAATGTTTATTCATTTCAAACTTACAAGATAGTTATCTGAGTAAAAAGCTATGAAGGAACTCCTTTTTTCATCTATCTTGTGCAGTTTGACCTTAGTAATGCTTAAACTTTTTCATCACCTGTTTTGCCACATCTAAAACTACAGTTAATGTGTCACTTAACAAGGGTGTGTCCTGAAAAATAGGTTGTTAGGAGATTTGGTCGCTGTGTGAACATCGCACAGTGCGCTTACACGAACCAGACAGTCTAGCTGGCTGCACTCCTAGGCCATTTGAGATATAGCCTCGGTCCTTGGGCCACCGTCGTATTTGCCACCCATCATTGAGCAAGACATTGCTATGCAGCACGACGGACTGAGTATTGGGTCATTGGGAAGTCATGACACATTATTGCACAGAAAAACAGAAAAATGTCGTGACTTTCCCAAAAACCTAATAGGTTATTTTAAGCAATCTTAATTTTATTATAAAAGAATGATGTTATATTATTTATAATGTAAGTAATTAAAACATCCTTTAAAAGCTATTGCTAAAACAGCATCAACTTAACATTTTCTAGTGCATTCTAAAATCAGTTTCCAAAATCTCTTACTCTCGTCACCAGTATCTCAGTTTTCAGAAACCTGTCATCTAATAATCTATGGGTCACGTCCCTGTGTTCTAAGAGGAAGATTTCATCCATAAATAACAGAGACCACTAGGTCTTCGTTTGTTTTCCTTCCCCTTACATTATTAAACATGCTAGCACATCACACAGCTGCCGATCCTAGCTCTGTCACCAGGGCCGCAGGAGAGCCCAAGTGCACAGGAGCAGAAAGCCAGCGAACTTCCCCACATATATAGTAAACCATATTTTCGGGAAGTTCAGCCAGTAGTTTTTTTTTTGTTTTTTTTTTTTATGTTTTTGTTATAAGGTGTGTGTTCTTGCCGGGGGGGAGGGGAGAAATCTCCCCCCATGCCACAGTCCCTTTTCCTCTACTCTTCTCTTGGGATTTTAGGTATGTATCCACATGTGCCCAGAGTGTTTTTTGAGCTGCTGGCTCTGGGACTTGAACTGCAGAGTCAGCTATATGGCATCTAGCACCACAACCACTCCGCCACCTGCTAGCCCCAGCCAGCTTTTAATTTAGTGTTAGTTTGGGTGTACTATGCATAAATTTTTTTTTTTTTTTGGACAGTGTAGTAATGTTCAAGCCAGTTAGTGTTAGAATATATCCCAAAAAACCTTTTCTGGAAGATTCGTATCTACTTATAGATTTAACAAGAACTTAAAAATAATTGTTTACCTTTTTTTTTTTTAAGTTTATTTATCTCTTCCATGAAGGAGAGAAAAAGAGTGAGAGACATCACCCCCAACAGGGTCTGGATGCGCAGTCCAACCCCAGCCTTCAGCCAGCACCGGATCAAGGACGCCTGTGTATCTGGTGTTCTCAGGGAGGTCTCAGACTTGGAGCAGGAACCTTTCTAATGGGATCGCCTCACAGAGCACTGTGTAGTACCGATACACCAGTCTGGCCCCATCAGCTTCTTAATTTTTTTACTGTTTACAGGGGTTGGTGCTCATCCTTGGTTCAAACTCTCTGGTTTGCTGTTGTTAGCACACATGAGCATTTTAAATACAGAGCTGGCCTTGTGTGCTCTAACTGGAAACTGGCTGGGTAGAGGGGTCTCTCCAGGCAGTGGGCAGCTCGACGTTCATGTGGCCTTACTCGTGTGCATATTGCCTGTCTGTTTTTTACCTCAGTTCCACATTTCTTTTATTGTCTTACCCTGACTGCTGCCTCTAGATGTGTGTCTAAACATAAAAACACACTTAACCCCCTTTTCCCATGTCCTTAAAAACAGAAAATTAGTTGCTTTCTCTTTTTTCTTCATTTTCTTTCCTGAAGATATGTGATCAGCCCAACACTAAAGACTGAATGGAATAATCAGTCATGATTGTCATGTGCCCTCTCCCCACTGACCTAGAGGCCCTGATTGCCTTCACGGTAGTTTTGGTGCATACTGGTGAAAAGCAAAGGCGAAAGAGAGAATCACATAAATGTCAAAGAGGAGACAGGACTATCTGGACCACGGTTGTTTTCAGAACCCTTAGTGAGTCTGTCTTCTTTCGTAACTCACTGCTTTCAGCGAGAAGGAAGCCCAGGTCGCCTTCTCCTGGAACAGTGTGCTATGTGGAAGTTCGAGTCCACAGGTCTCCTGAAGCCCATCCGTGGCTGGCATGGGGGTTCGTAGGTCTCATTCAGAGCTCATTTTTCTGCTCCTTGTCATAGTTTTTTTTTTTTTTTTTTTTTTTTTGGGAGAGATTTTCACTGTAGGGCGCGTGCGCTCGCCAGACAGACAGAGAGAGACATAGAGATAGAAAGCGAGAAATCACCCCCCAGGGGGGATGGTCACGCCGCAATCCCTTCTCCTCCATTCTCCTCTCGGGATCTTGGCATGCACGCACGCACACGTGCCCGGCGTGAGTTTTAAGCCACCGGGTCCGGGACACGAACCGCGGTCGACTACGTGGGAGTCCAGCGACATAGCCATTACGCTAACTGCTGGTTCCCCCTTGTCATAGTTTTTTGAGAATGAGAAACCTTTTATTGGCTAAACCAACTTTTGTACTTTTAAGTGCCTCTACTCAATATTTATAAGGGTGTCTTCAAAAAGTTTATGGGAAATGCATATTATAGGAAAATTGCGTGGATTTCAGCATTTTTTGTATCAAAATTAATTTGTACTTTAATTCCATTTCTTTTCTTTTTAATTGCCAGTGTGTGCACTCCCCAGAAAGAGATAGA